GATAAAGGTATGTTTGTGGCCTCTTAAACTCCGTCGCTGATCTCATTACAAAACCGTACATTTTATACGCCTTATTAATAATACACTCGAGATGCTGGTTAAGTGAAAGTTTACTGTCAATCAAAATTCCTAAATCTCTAACAACAGAAATATTCTTCAAAACAGCGTTACAAAGATAAATAAAATAATATAAATAAATTAAATGTTTTTGGTAAAATGAATATAGTTGCACTTAGGGATACAAATTTGAAGTTTATTTTCCTTGCTATAAGTTGTGAATCTGTTTAAATCTTCTTGGGACATCTCGCAGTCTTTCTCAGAATTAACAGGTTTATATACGTTCAAACCGTTCGCGTATAAGACAAAATTTGTGTTTTTAAAATAGATTTTAATGTCATTTATATATAATATAAAAAGAAGTGGGCCCTAATTGAAATTTACAAATGATTACGAAACAATGTCTGTGTTCTTTAAAAAGAACGTTATTTAGTAATGTATTGTGTTTTGGTAGAGATATTATTATTCAGATTTTTATTTCCGCAATCCTGCCTTGTTCGTATTGCGGGGCGAATTCGTTAAAAATGGAACTTCATCGGACACGTCAATAATGTCAAAGCGTACCCGATTCAGGATGGGGAAATAACGAGCGATACGTTTTGAAACAAAACTTCTGTGTTCATTTATAACGAAATATCAATACTATGGAGACATCAACATTGTAGTATCTATATATTAATACGTGAAGCTAAAATTTTGTACTCCCTTTTAAGAAAATTGCGCGGACGGACAAGAATGTAATTTTCCACACTTATAGTTAATATAGTGAAGGAGTTTTGAATGATAATATTTCGACCTGTGTTCGAATTTCGACCACGGGGCGATCACTAGTATTGTTTATGAGTCTTACAGAAATCCTTGGTCATGAAGTTGTAACACAATTGTCATTTGCGATTTCTTGATCACCAAAGTAAACATAAGCCTTTAAGGTGTCTGGAAAGTAAAATAAAGTAAAAAAGTAAAATAAGGAAAAACAATTTTCGGCGCCGCCAGAACCGGAAGCTGCGCTTTCGGAGACTACTCTTTTGGTTTTTTTTATGTGAGTAAGTGGCAAACGATCTGGCGCTTCACCTGATGTTAAGCATTTATTATATTTGCAACACCCGTGGGGTTGCGGATGCGTTGCCACCTTTTAATAAAATGGGCCCCGGCCACCTTACTCAGCAGACGAAACGCAGAACTTCTTTGAGGTCGTAATACTTACTCGGACCTGCACATTAATGCAACAGCGAACATTTGCGTGATCCTGATATCCAGCAGATGCCAAAATCCCGATAAGTATATACTTTTATTTTGAATTTTTAACTATTCTTTATTATACTACATATGTTAAAATTGATAATCGATATGATAAATCCGTTAAGATTAATGTCATTAAATGCTACACACTCTTTATAAGTGGTGTAAAATAATATTATATCAATATTCATCCGAGAAGATTGATTTGTACTTTACAAACTTTTTATATCATACAAAAAGATATTTATTAAATGAGCGTAAAATAGCACAGTGTGCATTGTAGAGAGCTTTATAGAGGTTTTTTCATTTAGTGAATTAGATATGTCTTCTCCTTAAAAATACGTGAATTTCGCCTTTTACCAATGCATTGAAATTGCCGTTGAGACTAGCGCAGTCTTGGAGCAACAATAAGTGCTTTCGTGAAAATGTGCTGAAGTTAATTTTATAAAAAAAGTGTGTAGTTAGAAGGGAGCTTGGAAGTAGAAATGATAAACTCAACCCCCTTGAGTTTTTTAAAAGAAAAGTATGTTTGAGTTTTTGATGTATCCTGTACATTTCTGCTTCATTTGGTGATAGTTGTTTTATATGTTTGATCATTCAATTATTAATCTCTAATCATCCTTTTTATTCTATATTCTCACTTGTACTTCGACTTAAGCCTTAGTCAAATCTTGTTCGAAACTAACTCGAACTACTATCTTTTGTGAAACAAATCTTACTTCCTTACTAATATTATAAAAGCGAAAGTTTGTATGTATGGATGGATGTTTGTTACTCTTTCGCATAAAATTTTATTGAAATTTTACAATAATATAGTTTATGTATCAGAATAACACATAGGCTATAATTTATAAACATATTGTTAAAAATGTAGGTAATGATAAGTGTCAACTAACTAGGAAAAAATTCAGCCATCTGCGAGATATTCTGGTGTATAATGCAAACTTTTTGTTAATTTCTCTTGGCCTTGCGGGTGAAGCCGCAGATAACAGCTAGTAAGTAATATTTACGAATGTTTCAGTGCACGAACATGGAACCCATCCAAGAAAATAACATCGAAAACAATCATATGTAATGATTCCCCGCCGTAAGTATTAGAAAATGTAGATTGAAACCATTGTCATTGTTTACTATATTGGCTGACATTAAAAGTAACGCTTATTGAAGCGTTGCCAAGTTGCCCTCGTGGGTACTCACGCTTTTGGTCGCTTTCAAATTGAGTTCTGAAACAAGAGCAATTTCAATGTAATTTGACGGTTTCTTATGACGCAAATTAAATTTAATTCGATATCTGATACGAGAATAACAAAACCATGATCAGTAAATTATAACGGCAAAATTATTACGATTACGAATTTATTGCGAGAATCATTGGTTTTGTAATAACGTGCATATATATATATATATATATATATATATATATTCGTTTAATGAATTTCTTAAACCTGTTGATAGATAGGCTTTGCACATTAACTGGGATTTTGTTGTAGAAGCGTATACACCGTCCCATGAACGAGTTACTGACTCTATGGAGTCTAGTAACTGGCGTTACAAGCTTGTGTTTGTTCCTAGTGTTTACATTATGTACATCACTATTCTTATTAAAAAAATAATTTAAAAATAAAATAAAAAAATAAAATAAAAAATAATTTAGCTATAATAGACACGATATATATCCATATTAAAAATATATCCGTTTGATTTTCTACTGGAGGTCAAATCAGTAAATTTTTTTATACACACATTAATTGCTTCATTCACTATTCAACAATTAAATAACATTCCATGTTTGAGATTTATCTGAAGCATTTTGTTATATACGCAGAGGCAAATTCCTTTACCTGTAAAGTTGCCTCTGCTAATATACTCTATTTCAAATAATCTATGCACAAACTGCGATTGACGGTGACTCTGCTTAGAGCTCTTTGACAGAAATCAGAATTGACATGTTGATTTATGCCCATCCCTACCGTATCCAGAGAAACAAATACATACGTGTCTAGTTCCTGAGCATTATATGGATACATTAAGAATGAAATCGTGTTGTGCGAGCGATGTTTTTACATCAGTCATCCTTCTCCGTTCTCTATACTTCGCCGGGAAAAGGTTGCGTCAGAGACTTATCTCTGACGCAACCTTGTCTTAACACGCAGGAATGACTGGGATATTTTTAGTTTTAAAAGCTTTTCCATCCGTACCATCGCTTTTTGTAGCAGTAAGTAGCATAGATTTCGTAAACTATTAATATACGTTACATTGCAATTCAAAATTATTATTCCTATCATTATAAAAGATTAAAAAATTCACAATACATGCTTTACTTCCTATATAAGGGGTTTTCGTTAATCGATGTTGTATTATCTCTGTGATGAAGACTTTACCGAAGGTTTTGAGTGTGTTGTTAATAAATTTGAATGTATAAAACAAATTATATCTTATACCATTTTGGATTGCGCTTGATGTTTATTCCTCATTACTCTCTTATACAAAAATTTTAAGGAGTGGTCGATTGGGGTAGTAAAATAGTAATGATAAAATGATAAATTTTGTTTTATTAATTTATTTCATTTATATTGTTTTCTTGATTTTACGCGAATATTATATATACTTAATGAAACTACTTTATGTTTTTTTTATAAAAAAACGCGATAAAATCCGTAGAGTAGTTTCATTTATTTCGTTTATTCCTTTTACATTTCTAAACTATTAGATTTTTTTATTCAATTCAAGATGTTTATGATTTATGGGTGAGATTAAAATGAAGAATCATTATCTTATACTTAAAATATTACAATTACTAATTATTTTAAAACACAAATTAAAAATTGGTATAAATATTTTAGTTTTGTTGAAAATAAAGATTAAAATGATGTAGACAATGTAGTAAAAGATAAAAAATAATTCGGTAGGTAAACTGGGTAAAAAAATGTAAATGTTTCTTTTAGATTTGGCGATTGACTTGATAGAAATTTCACACGCCGAACGCTTTTACTTTTTTCTGATCAATGCCCTACAATTGATGAGGAGAGTGGTGTGATGACTATCTTTTTTAGTATCTAGGACCTACCGAATTATTTTTTAGCTTGTAGTACGTTTTCTACATCATTTAAATCTAGTTTTCAATAAGTTTAGTTTCAATAAAACCGTTTGAATTAAAAAGAATTTACTCATATGATAAAATATGTAATCCGCCATTTTGTAGCGGCGGCCATCTTGGAGTTACAATGATACCGAATATATTAAATTGTATTGTCATCAGAACTAAAGGTGCGTACCGAATTAATTATTCAGATCAATCCGTCTATAGGAATCGGGTCATATTTCAATTACTAGATTTGACCCAAACATGTGTTCATCTCAGTTTTCATGAGGACCGATTCGACGTCAAAGGGAATCGTATTCTCTCGAAAACATTGGCACATTTTTAATAAATCTTGTCTTGTTACGAGTGTGCAAACTAATTACTCAGCCATAAAAAATAATATGACCGCTTCTTTTGGAGGTACTCATCGGTTTCTGTAACCGATCTCGTTGCGATATTATATACCAAGCAATTCATAATTTTGAACTTGTCGCGGTATACTGAAATGTGTTTAAGTTTAACATAATCATTAGCGTCTTTTAATAGTATTAGCGGATGATTGTAAAACATGTTGTATTTAAAGGCATGACTGCTTTGCCTCGACTACGCTGTCAGTCCAATAATGGCCGCGAGCGAATTAGTTGTTTCGCCGGCCAAATTCCCCGATTTATTTCCCGCCGACGGTTGCGACGCACGCCGCAGATTAATTCGGAACATCGTCGGGGTTCGGCGCGGGCAACACCGCCGCCAGCCTCCGGGGCACCCCCCCTCTGGCGGCACCCCGCAAGCCCCTCCGCGCCCCGCAATGCGACACACGTGCCACGAACCGATTCAAATAGTAACCAATAGATGCACCTCGTCAGACCGCGCCGTGTCTCGCGTCCGATTGTGAACTATAGTAAACTTCCTCCATATATCTGGTACACGTCAAAGGCCCCGTTGCCGTGGCCCGTGGCCTTGCATGCGGTACATGGTAAATTTTTTTCCTTGCGTTTTTCCTTTATCGATACTCTCACGTATACGTGTTTAGTTATTTCTTCACCAGTATTTTGAATGTTTTTGGAAATAAAAAAGTGTGGAAATGTAAAGGAGATTTGATAGTTTTTTTATGTTGGTTGAGGACTTAAATTAAATATATATTAATTGTATGACTACCAAAAAAGATGAAGTTAGGGATTTATTGTCTTTAGTAAGTAGTAGTAGTTCTTAAGATTATTCATATTCGTTTTTAATTATGGTCTCACGTACCATTGTGCATTTTTTTTCTTATAATTTTAATAGGTTTGTTGTTTCTTTTTTATTAGTAGTTTGTTTTCAGGGTGCAGACTGCACCGAGTCATAATAAAAAAGAGGATTAGCTTTAAAATATATTATATACTCGACGAAATGACAGCAAACGGTAAAGACCATTCTTAGTATCGTCAGGTGTTGTTCTTGGGCCACAACCGAATTACAATTGGAACTTTTTTTATTTATTTAATGAATAAAATTCACATTATGGATCCTATGAAAAAGTCACTGATGTAGTAAACCGCTATGTTTATCTGTATACAAATAAACATGGCGGTTTTTATTTTATCATAATGAGCCTATATTAAATAATATGATTTTGGGTTGCCATACTCAAAGTACTTTGTTATACCATAATCGGATATTATATGACATTGATTAAAATACAAAACATTTCATTAAATTAAAATTAAAATCCTGCGTTTGTTGTTCGTATGCGTGAGCTTTCTTGCTAAAGCTTCCCAAATACTTTTAAAATATGTGAAGGTATTAAGCTAGTCTGGTCTTTTAGATGGATAAATTATCATTTGAGGGTTAGGATAAAGCCTAAACACGTAATTTTTAGAACATATTTAACTTATTTATAAATAAGCAACAATGTTAGAGTTGTCGAAAGTATTAAAATAAAGTAAATAGCTCAAATTGCATTAATTATGTTTTGTTCAATTTTATCCTATATATTGTTTTAACATTTTTTTTCATCTCCTTAAATAAGTCAAAGTCCATGGTAGTACAAAAATGTTTAAACTGAGACTTGTATCTTGTATAGAGCCACGTCCATTTCTTTAACGGCAAGAAATTGTAAAAAGGACATTTGATGTATGTACGTCACTAAGATTTGAATCCGTCATCCCAAGATAAATCTCCAAAGGAGGTGTAATGCTGCATAACTTTCAAACTAGGCTATGTTTGCCTCCACATGTACGGACGTCCGGTCCGCACATAAGAGTATATATACTCGTCCAAATAGGTCAGTAGGCTTATCAGACTCGCCGCGTTACTTCCTATTTGAAAGCAAGCGTGGCCACGTGGCTATGACGTCATCGCGACCTTAATATCACCGGATCTTGAAGAGCGTTTTTTTACAAAACGTCGACTTAAGTGTTCTAATCTCAAATTTCCTCGCCTTTGCTTTTCTCAGAAAACGTTTCCTATTAAGGGCCTTCTAACGCCGTATTGTATTAAATAATGGTTTTAGCTTAACAAAATGCTAGAAATTAAATTCTGAACGATCATTTATCCTTTACCCGATGTACATTTCTTAATAAATTAGTTCTAAATAAGACAAGTTTATACAATTGTTCATTTGAATAAAGCTAAGTGGTGGTTTACAACTTTAAATTTCTGTCACTCTTAATTACTTCTGCTACCAGCAGCCGTAGCTCTCTGTTTAAATCAAATTTTGAATGGGTTATAATTATGTAATAACGCTGAAACAAGTTTAGTGTTCATGGATAAAATCTTTTCTAGGACTTAGTACGTTATGTTTGATTCATCATCACCATCATTTCAGCCTGTTTGAGTCCACTGCTGAACATAGGCCTCCCCCATAGACTGCCACGAAGGACGATCCTGAGCCACCTGCATCCATCGACTTCCCGCGCATTTGCACAGGTCGCAACGCCATCTAGCGGTGGGTCGTCAGTAATCGTTAAATAATAGATAGTCGTTAATCGTATGTTTGATTACCGACTAAAATGTTTTTCACCTGCTGACTCGGGTATGTTAGAGCCCCAACACTAATTCTCCCATTTCTGGCATCCTGATAGGATGAACGGTTGCGATATATCGTACTAGCTGCTGCCCGCGACTACGTCTGCGTAGAATAGACTGAAGGCGTAACATTCAGACAGAAAGACGGATATACGTTAAATATGTATACTAGCAAAAAGCTGAGCTTAGTGAGGGCTCGCGTAATTTTTCTAAATGGTAATAATTTTTAAAACAGTTTTTTAAAATTATTATTTCTGATATGTATATAAATTATAGCCTATATCTTATTCTGATGTATAATTATTGCTAAGTTTCATTAAAATCCATTCAGTAGTATTTGCGTGAAAGTGTAACAAACATCTATCCATACATACAAACTTTCGCGTTTATAAAATTAGTTAGGAGATTTTGTTTCCTTGAACAAATGAACATATAGTGCAAACTCTCTCGTCGCAAACACCGGATTCATCATAATAGACAAATGTAAGTGAAGGTAACGTTAATTATTTCCTTCGTTCGCTCCAACGAGCCGCCAAATTAGGTGATCTCGGTAATGAATTCTTTAAGGCGCACTCGCGGCGCGGCGCCATTGTGTTCAGTTTTCTTCTTCACGACGCTCGCTATATTGTTTCAGGTGCTATGTAGCAAAAGGGACGCGGCACGCGGATTATTTGGAAAAATGTAGGAATTTCGTCGACCTACAACGGCCTCAAGGAGCAGTCGTGGAATTAACGTTGTCAATTCAGGAGCGGAGTTTTATTTTGTTCGTCGCTCATTTCGCAAGGTTTCTTTTTACTGCTTTAACATTTTCAAACATTTCTTGTCCAACTCCGAACAGAGAGGGTCAATAGTAGTATACGGATATTATTGAGCTATATTAACAATTCCTTGATCAAATGAAACTTTACGAACGAAATATTTTATTTGTTTGTATGGGAATGATCCGTTCAATTTAATTGCTTGATTTCAAAATGTTTAAATTAATCCAATCACACTGTAAGCTAAACGTACCGCGAAAAACAATGCAGCGTTCTGTATTGGCAAGCAGCGTGTGGAAAACGGCATTTCTAATGTCAGAAAGCCTTTGTCAGAAAGGACTCATCACGCCCACAGTGGGCGAGTAACAAGTTTCAAATTCAATTTTATTTGTGGACCGGCTTTGCCGGAGCACCCGTCGGATCGTTCGCCGCCTTTGAGCCGCGCTCATCAATGCCGGAGAGCTGCATCTGAAAAAAGGGCTTCACTCGAAAGCTGTGGAACAATTAGAACATGTACCACTCGTGATAATTTTTTTTCAAAGAGTTGTAAATAAATGTGATAAGTATTAGAGTTTGTCACATCGTTAACGCTCGTAAAAATATGATAAATTTGAAAAATTATCCTAGTCCGACGGATTTAGTACGAGATAGGTAATCGCGAGAAACGATTACCTATCTCGTTTTATATTATTATACGAGGATATTAAGGCATAGGTTCTTAAAATAAGTGAAAGATAATACGTATAAAAGATTATCTATAATTCAGTATTGCATCATCTGCTGTGATCTGTTAAAATAACTGTGACACCTTAACAATGAAATAATTCGCGGCTATACATATAATTAAAGAATACAGAGCTTATCGGCGGTAATAAAAACATAATACTTGGAATGAAATCAACTCCTAATCGATACATCCAAAGTTGGGTGTCAAGTCTACGTTACTCGATATGCCTATTAGCAAAACGCTCTTTTGTTTTTAAAGTAGAAACTGTTATTTTCATCATCATTTTTGCTATAGCGTAATGCACAGTATATTAATCTAATGCGTATATTTAAATTAAATACGCACAATCCATTATATTCCGCAGGTATTGAGCTACGGCGGTCAAGGAATTCGGCGGTCGGTGTGCTATCATTAATTCCCATTGCAAACGAGGAACACGTTATTGATGGACGAGCAGAGGTGTTAATGTGCGGGCATACGGGCTATTGGGCAGCCGCTTGGCCACTTCCGACGGCCGATCTGTTTCCCATTAAGCGATTAAGTGCGACACCTCTGCACTGACGTCACCGTTGTTCATGCCTCAGTGGAACAAGATTATGATTTACTACAAACATTTTTGAATTCATTTTTAAGAACGGGTGTTCACTACATCACTCGTTACTATTCATATAGAAATAGCAGATTTTCAAATACCTGCAGCAAAAGCGTATACCGCTTTCACTGCGGAATTTTATTTCAATTCTTAACATATGTATTCGTCTGGTTTTGGTTCCGTTTCACCCGAGAAAGCGGTCCTTTATGACCGCTTTCGTAAATCTGAAAGATTGTCTCTCGGTTGAACTGAATGGCCAATGCCATTAAGTAAAACATGTGTTTCGATTTACCGAAGTGATTTTTTTAAGAGAATCATTTTTACTATGTTTCATGAAGCGTTTCTGTATACTTTATGTAAACTGACATAGAATAAGTTATAAAATGGAAATATATACTCGACTAAATACGCTTTTTCTCATTTACAAGACGATAGATAATAAATTCATTGTATATTGAAGTTTTGAGCCTTTATGACGATATAATGTGCACCTATGCTTTTGAAATTTGCAAAACATGGCACATGCAAAGCATCTATTGATGATTTTTTTCTTGTATTAAGTTAATCTCTTATTTGTAAATAATATCGAAGCATCTGCGGATAAATTGTCCAAATTAATTTTAACGAAATAACTCAAAAGTTATCAGTGCAGCCACGAAACAATTCACAAAAAAATTAAATCAGTTTCGATCAGAGGGCGAGGGTTATAAAAGAGTTAAAACCTACCGATATTTTTTTTTCTCTCGCGTGCATGCAGAGTGAAGGGTGAAATTAGAATAAAGTTGTTGTAACAAGGAAAAATCGTATATTTAAATTGGATTTTTGTTTTCTAAAATGGAATAAACACACTCATGTGCTATAACCTTCATGACATTAGTGCGATATCAGAACGGACGGGATCTGAACAGCACTCGCCCCACGCTGCCTGAAAACAGAGCCAGTTCACAGTTGACCCAGTTAAAGTTACTTCTATTCTATTCTATTCAAATGTGTGACAGCGATACACCTCTACTGTACAGAGGCCCGTTGTAATTATAACATTTTTATCGAAGACTGTATATTAGTAAAACGTAACAAAGGAAACATTAAAAATAATGAAAAAAATTATGCCATGTACCAATACTCTTATGCCCAGTTTCCGAAAGGCCAATCAAAGCAGCAATCACATAACACTATGTCAAAAATGATCAGCTGTTAATCTCTTGTTAAACTGCCTTGGGTTTCTGGAAGGTTTGTTCAAGAAAAATTAGCTAATCACTGTATAACCAATGATAATGAATGAAATGAATGATTTACTTCAACTAACTCTTTCTATTGTATAGCTGTCCCTCTTTAAACAAATCTTAAATTAACGTCATTATCCAGTGCTGTCACCGTGTGATTGGCAACGTAAAAATCAGAGTTATAATAAAATTTAATTTATATAAATACATGCAAAATGTCAAGAAAAAACTTTACAGAACGTGAAAAAAATGAACTTTTATCCATAATAAACAAGTAAGTAATATAAAAAGAAAGAATCCATATTATTTATTAACTTTTGAATTGCATTTTTTATTTTTTTCTAATCGCATGATCTGTTCGCATAATAATAAATAATAAACAGGTAATAGAATACATGAATTTCCTTACGACGTATTAGGGAATTATGATTATTTTTAGTAAAAAAACTAAGATTTTTGATAAAATACATTTTTAACCAACGATTGATCGTCCAAATTGACAGATTACTTAATAAAACTTTTGACAGCTCGTTGATCACCGAAAAATGCTTTCAGAAACTCGATTTTCTGTTGATTGTCCGTTAATCAGTGACTAATTGCAAATCAAAATCAATGTTGTTTTCAGACGTTCTAGCAACTCAGATCATGTTAAACAACGTTTGACAAGAGATTTATCGTAAATTAAAATTGATTGCGCTTTCGGAAACTGGGTGTTAGTCTATGAAAGAGTCATTAAGTGTAAATGTTAACAGTATTATATTAAATAATTTGGAATTGTAGTAGTCAAAAAGTTGTTGTTGGTTGCCATGGCAACACCATGAAGTTGGTTCGTTTTTATTCGCGCATCGTAAAAATCACTTTGGAGTGATCCCATTATTTTTCCAAGTATAACTTAGAAAATCTAAAAGTGATGTAACTGTTGAGGGTGTTCGGATCAATGACTGTCTGGGTGAAATATAAGTAATGAACTAACGATTTATTAGTTCAATTTCCAAGAAAACCAAAATGTCAACGTCTGACGGTGTCTCGAGGTGAGTATTTCACAGTAAACTGAGGATTGCTGTTATTTGTGTAGTTTTACACATCAATTCAGCTCAGATGTCGGGAATTTTAGAACCATATATATTTGCTTTATTGTAGAAATCGGCTTCAATATAGGAGGCTTCGTTTTGAAAGGCCAAGAGTGGGATTGTGAATCTGTTGAAAAATTACTTTTCTTAATTATGAATAATAATTATCAAAAGTTTCTTACGTACTTCGTGCGTACTTTAACATCCGGAAGGAAGTTTTAGACAGATGCAGTTAGGAAATAGTCACCTACCTTGTGTGTCACTAGCTGGCAAACACATGGGTGTCTGTTGATCAGTATGGGGTTCATGAAGGCGCTGTGTCAAGTACGAGGTGAAACGCCATATGTTTAAGAGCCCGAAGAGTATGTTCAATCTAATCAAGCGCACTGAATATTATATGTGTACTCTTTAGATTTGTCAGTTATTTCATTTAATATGATCAGAATGATATTTATCTATACCCCATAGGGCTTGCTTTATTTGTTTCACTTCGGAGGGGTTCAGCAACAACGAATATCCTCGTGTAACACATGGCGTCATTACACGCAAAAGTGCCCGCGCCCAGGATAAATCCAGCCGAGCGTTGTTCATATTTCGCCCCGAGCACCAGCGCCATTACATTTACTACTTTATACATATGAGTTAACGCAATATGGCACCGGATAATATGATCTTGTATTTCTCCCTAAGTTATTTTAAATTTCACTTCTTCTCTCAGACTTTGAACTACAAATTTGCTGCCTCTTAATCCAAAGAGGATAGTGGTACTATCTACGTATAAACAAAGCTTGTTGGTAGGTAATGGCAGGTAAAGATAGGAATCTTTTTGTATGTGAGAAGGTGCCAAGCGAGCTGGTGGTTCACCTGATATTAAGTGGTAACCATCGCCCGTCGACATTTGCAACACCCGTAGGGTTGCAGATGCGTTGCCACCTTATAATAAAGTGGGGCCCGGCTAACTCACTCATTGAACGAAACGCAGAAGTATATCGCTTCCTATTCATTGCGGTCATTTTAGAGATCGTGGTAATTCCTCGCTCAGAGATTCCTTTGCCATTAAATTTTTGGAGGATTCATTCATGTAACAGGAAGACTATTGCGTGGCTCTACTCTCGTGTGTTAGGGTCCAGTCGCAAGGTGTACTTTATTATTGGAGGCAGATGTTATCGGTACAATTATGTATAACGCGGTATCGTAATTTGTTTTCACTTTTTGCTCCATGTTTTTTGAGTAATGAAGAAACCTAATTTTTTTTAATAAGTATTGTATCAGTTGCCAAGCTGTTAGCTTTGATGCCACGGGCTATGCCGTAATTCACTCGGGACAAGTATTTCTGTGATATATCTTCCTTATGTGGGTGTTTTTAATTTTCTAATAAAAGGTGGACGCCAACTCGGTCGTGAAAACGTATCCAAAAACACTAACGATGTAGGATAACAAATAATTCTATAATACCCTAACAATCAAATCTTGTTTACCCTACGGTGGTAGGACCACGCAGCAGCCTCGGCTGTCGAATGGGCAGGCTCATCCGTCGCAGAAGGCCGGCATTAATTGGAAGCATAATACATTCGCGTTTCGTCTGGTGAGTGAGGTGGCCGGAGCACAATTTTCAAAAGGTTGTCAACGCATCTGCAACCCTTGGGTGTAGCAGATGTCCATGGGCGGCGGTATTAACTTGACCTTTAACTATGGATGTTCCATTTTTGTTACACTAGTATGGACGTGCGGCCTCACAGACCGCTATCTTTACGGGCTGGTTTCTATCTTGATGAGTATGTATTAAATAATTTTTTGTTTTTATGCCTTAGAAGAGTTACTAAATGTAAATAGAAGATGTAATTTTAATGAAAATGTATTTATTTTACAACTGAATCTAACGATATATCAATCAAAGGCACTTTTCAGATTTTTAGCTTGAGATCACTTTATAGGTATATCACCACAGGAAAATGACTTTTTTAGTTAGTTTAACTTCTTTTACAATAAAATATAAAGAACAAAGAACATAAAAAACTTAACATAATCTTCTCAAAACTAAACATAAAAATTTCGACAAGGGCCCAACTTGGTCATATTTATTGGCAGTCTTTGCTTCGCGGCTTAGAGCATTGTAGCACATTGGCTGTTTACAGCCCACATAAGTGTGCGTAGTCTTTCGTTTTATTTTATTGTGGGTATAGTTTACACGTGTTACGTTTAGGAACTATATTTTATTCACTTGGTGGCTCTTCACTGGATGGCATATCAGGGCCCAAAACTTGTTCCAGCGTCATAACTAATTAATTTGGCAATTTACTGGCTCTCTGAGTCGACGAACTCGATATTCGTTTACCTGCAGTCGTTGGTTATCGTTTTTTGACATTTTAGTTCACAAAATTTTAAACAAACAAAATCACCGTCAGTGTCAATTTATAACACAAACGTGGACGCGTGGTCTCACAGACCGCACTCAAAATATAAAGCGAAATTACTCACGCATTATTCAGTCGGCGACGTAACCTTCACTCTTAACGGTCGTTTCGCCACTAAAACCGAAGCTACTAAGGCTGGCATATTCATGGGGGCACGAGAATCACAAACTGCAAGCGGCCTGTGAGACTGCACGTCCATAGTTAAAGGTTAACATCTGGTGAACCGTCTGCTGGCTTGGCAACTTTTCACATAAAAAAACCTTCATTACTAAGGCTCGATGAAAAAGTTTAAGGTAATTCGATTCTTAGAAATATTAATTTTTCGTGCAATTTAGTTTCAGAAACTTTTGATGTTGGTCGGAGAGAGTAAGGTTAAGCACTTTCTATAATCCCGGAGGAGTAATAAAAAAAGTTAATTTAGCTATGTACCACCGGTGCGGGGGGCTCATTGAAGCTACAAGCGGGGGAGGGGTAGTGGGGCGAACACGCCCTTGATTACAGTTAACTCGACGGTACGCGAGATTAATAAATATTGAGGGCAACGTGGATCAACTAAGTTATTAGCATGTGGCGCAGAACAACAAAAATCACTGCCAAGCTAATATTTTGATCAGTTTAGGCTTATGTTTAAACCTTTTGATAATATTTTCTAATAAATATATCTAAAGATTTTAACAATGACTTAGGGACCATCTTTGCTTATTTTAAATGTATATGGGATTCCACACAATGATATTATATAAAAATAAGAGGTGGATATGACACTAGCGCTCCGAAACTAAGGCACTTAAATAACACTAATTGGTGAGCTTAGATTGACTGCTATCTCTTTCCGTATCACGCATTCTATATCATCTGTCACATTAGATTGCGCATGTCATATAATGTAAGCGGAACAATTTTTAAAGGTCACGCATTATGGACATACGTCATCTATATAATCAAACATCATTGTATTCCACCCATGAAGGATAACAGCACTTGAGATGATGCAGGCGTGTTGCCAGCCACTGAATACACGGCCTTCCAGCTGCTTCACTTAACAAGACTAATTCAAATATGATATGAAAGCACTTTAAAGAGATAAATTTTAGTCAATTAATTCAAAGGATAGATTATAGTCCATATATTTGAGAAGATCAAATATTACAAAACTGTAATATTTGTTGCTAATAATCGCTCCGGATATTTGTATGATAAGACAAACAAAAAAACATATGCAACAAAACTCTTATAGATTGTGAGACACTGATAACACATTTTCTTATGCCTTTAAATTAAAATGAAACAGTATTACATCGAATAAAATAAAACACATTCAATCCAACACATTCATTTTCAATATTCATAAAATAACACAAATCCCATTACACATACACCATTATATGCTCTCTTTTTCCCTCTCTTACTAAACCTACTTGTAAATTATTAGTTTTAAATTATATTAGCTGCTGTCCGCGACTACGTCTGCGTAGAATAGGCTGAAAGCGTAACATATACACAGAAAAACAGATATAAATAAAAATATGTATATAAATAGCCTATGTGTTATTCTGATGTGTAAGCTCTAAGAGCTATATATTATCGTAAAGTTTCATTAAAATCCATTCAGTAGTATTTGCGTGAAAGAGTAACAAACATCCATCCATACATACAACTTTCGCCTTTATAATAATAGTAAGGATTATAACCAATGGAAGAGCAAAGAAAACTGTCACGGGAATTTTTTTAATAAGTGATTTCGATCACTGAAAATGAAATTTAAACAGGTGTTGAATGAGACAAACTTATTTCTATTATCAACGATTGACCTTGAAGTGGAGAATCCCGCCATAATACAATCGTTAGATGCACAGGGCTTGTTCGTATGATGCGCAGAAATCGGTACTCGGCAATTACTGCCCCCAATCAGAGCTTGGCCGTTGAAGGCTCAAGGCTCAGATTGCCCGCAAACTGTAAAATTTAAGGCGGACGCCTGGCTCCCTTATTTCCAAAGTTTAATAATGCCGCTAGTGTTTAACTTCCCGTTAATTTTGCTTCATTTAACTTTCAGTCACCATCGCGATTGAAGCGTGGGACGATAAAAAAAAATAGAAATTTGAAAAATTATTAAACTGACCTAATTGTGGAATAATTAGAAAAGTTCTTCCATTAAAAGTTCACAGCTCGTTAAACTTTCAAATCTTTTATTTCAATCAGCGCACCGACAATTTTACACTCGCTTTGAATTTTGCTAATTCGACTTAACTCTTTGTAAATTTTCCTTCCGCTTTCAAACAGTTCCCTCTTTGCGTGAAATAAGTTTCGGAAATCGGTTATTCAGATAACAGGATTAAAATTAATTAGGACGGAACTCTTGAAACTTAGACAGCTATTGTAAAATGTTGATAACCGATTTTAACACTTAGGATTTAACTAAGAATTACTTGATTTAGAGCCATGATAGCTCAGTGTCCGGGCGCTCGCCTTTATTTCAATATACTCGAGCAACCTGAGTTCGATCCCCGGTGCCGGCACCAATGAAGTTTTTAACTTTAAGTGCTGACTTATCACGTGCTCCGCGGTGAAGGAAAACATCGTGAGGAAACCTGCATTTTTTTTCGAAATAATAACAAAAAAAAAATATTTTTCGAAGATATGTGAAGTCCGCCAATCCGCAGTGGGGCCGCGTGGTGGACTATGCCCTGACACCCTCTGCATAGAGGAGGCCTTTGCCCAGCAGTGGGACATGTATAGGCTGTTACTTTATTTGATTTATTAAAATTTGTAGAAAAAGGATGAAAAGCTTTTCGCCTCTGCGAGAATCGAACTCACGTCTTCCTGGATTTACGCCCAGTGCCTTAACTACTAAGCTGAACGGTTGTTTGCCACACACAACGGTTTTATTAAATAACTTGAAATTATAGGTAAATGTCAAAAAATTGTTATTGGTTGCCACGGTTATACCGTTAAGTGGGTCGGAGTTGGTCGCTTTGCAATCAACTTAGTCATGTCGCTTTTTGGCTTCCATTGTGCGCGCATCTCAAAAATTTTATAATCATAATATTTTCCAAACGCGCTAAAGAAGTATAAAAAAGGAAAAACAACAGCCTGTAAATGTCCCACTGCTGGGCAAAGGCCTCCTCTGTAAAGAGGGTATCAGGGCATAGTCCACCACGTGACTCCACTGCGGATTGTCGGGCTTTAATTATTTTAGAAATATGTTTTTATTGTTATTATTCCG